AAAGCCTTTGGTCAGCCACCATTTGTTTTGCTGTGCTCATGTTGCTATGGTTGGCCGCCACAAACCATCATACACAGCTAACACTTGTCAAATCTAAAGCTTTCTTCTAATGTTGAACTTCAAGCTGAATTATAAAGTATTTCCACTAAATATGTAGTAAGATTTGATTTAAAACATAGTCAACCTATACTGTAATGATTTGCATTTAGTCATTATCTAATTTGTTAAGTTTGGGCCATGATAATGATTATTATGTAGGAAGCTAGAGCATCCTGCAAGACTGCAGACAGTTGGTAAGGTTTATCATCATGCAACCAGTGATGCGTTTCATTGGTTTATTTAAGTGTGTTTAGGTTAGTTAGTTAGTTAGTTAGTTAGTTAGGTAGTTAGGTAGTTAGGTAGTTAGGTAGTTAGGTAGTTAGTAACCTTTTTCCAGAAAAGGGAACCCTTGACTGCTTCTTGAAAGTGGTGAATCTCAAGTTATGGGCTCAAGTGATAAGTGTTTCCTTTAGGGGATTAATGAAATATTATACAATGTGGATGACTTGTCATGTGCAAATATTTGCAAATGTTCCTGTGTTTTCTATCAGTTTCATAATGACCACTATGGTGTGTGCGCGCCTAACTTTCAGAAGCTGCAAATGAAACACCATCTGTAATAATCTCCTAATGTTAAAATGTGACTAAATTAATAAGTCAGCTGTTAATGCACTTGTTTTTTTAGAGATCTGCTTAGGTGTAATGCTTGTGGTCTGTTTTAATTCAGGCTGTTATCCTTTCATTAAAAACTCAACCATGTCCACTCCTAAAATAGTTTGCTTTTACCATGAAAGGAGTGCATGTGCCTGTTTTATCAGGCAGTACTTGGTGAGTTACAGTTCTTGAGGGATGATGCAAGACCCAAAAATAACAACTGTAAGCTCAAGGAAGGGACACACACATTTGTGTAGCTGGTGTCTTTACAATTTCGGTTCCTCTCACTGGGAGAGGAGTAGTTTTGACATCAGTGGCAAACAACTGAAATGATACAACAGAGAGTTTACATTTGAAGCTGTGAACCTCAAGGGTAGTTCAGTACTTTCTAGATTGATTTCAACAAGAGCAGTGTCAATGGCTTGGCTTAATAACAATAAATTTGAAGTAACTTTGTGTATTGTGTTAACCTGACGTGATAAACACCTTCCCGACAAGACTTAACACCATGACACTGCTAAAAGAAAACACAAAAAGGAACTTGCAAATCTATTGTGGCCTTGCTGTAGTTAATATTTATCTCCAAGGTATGACTGGTATTTAGAGCTTAACTTTTCAAACTGGTTGCAATGTACACTAACAGCTAGCTATGTGTAAAGTAGGGAAGAAAGTTATTGTTTGACGTCTTTTTTTAACGTTTTAACTTTTTACAGTTCCACCGTCTGACTTCAAACTGCAAAATAACCGAGATAATGCGTTTATTCAATGACTGTTAATGTTACATGTTAACAAACATCATGGATAAAAAATCTCACACTCACCTCTGCTGTCACCAAGGAGTCAGGAGACGTGCTCCCTCACAACAAGTCCCAAACGTGTAGAGTATGGACACACAAACAATGTAAAGTGTAGTGGAAAAGTTGAACATTCGAAAACGCATATCCAATTCATTTAAGGCATTTTCAACTCAGAGAGGCACTCTTCTTAACTACCAAGCTAACTAAAATGAACCGTCCTCGAGCGCACCCAGTCTCCACAATGTGTTTTAAAAAAGCTTTCAGAGACGCCTGTTTGCACCGCAGCAAACTGCCGTAGTGTTTAAAGCACACGGCAGGCTGACTCTTGGAAACGGAGAGATGGTTATTACGTTTCACGGGTGAACGCCGCGGTACGGTGGGCTCAGGTCCCACAACTTTATTCCTGTTGCTTACTTGACTATTTCTCCCTGCCGCTAACACCGACGTCAAGCTCCAGAGTTAGCTAGACATACCGGAAAGGCTGCATTAGGTCCTTCAAAGTAAAAGAGACTGAACATACCAGCATTTAATCTTGTTTCTGATCTTCTACAAACCATTTTTTTTATTTAAAGTAGATCCTTGCTGAAAGAATAGACCAATTATGTTATTTCTTTTAAATATTCCGAATGTAATTTCATAAATAGATATTATTTAGACCTGTTTTATAGTAAAATATCATTCAGAAAATGTAGACACTATTGAATATGTGAATATTCTAGGTAAATATGTTTATAATAAATAGGAAGTCAAAAGTGTATAGCTTCCATCTATATTTAAGTCTTAAGTGTCTTTTACCTTTTAATTTATTGTGTCTGCTTACCTGGATGTTTCTCGCATTTTTCATGTAATGGTAATTCTATTGTTTATATGTAATTGTGATTTTCCATTAGTTACACAACTGTTGAGGAAATTGTGTCCTTCGTCTCTGTATATTTATAGTATTTACTATTATGTATATGTTCCTCATTTTAAATAAACTACTGTGGCGCCCAGCTAAAGATGCCCTGCTACCCCTTACATTACAACATTTCATAAATATATATGACGTGAATTATGAATTAAACATCAGTAATATATTGACATTATCTGATCTCTCAATGTGACATTAGAAAGCAAAATGTTTCGTTTCTCGCTTTTATTTTGAAGGTTTTAACCGGAACCTCATTGTTCACTCCGGGTGGGTGACGGTGGTCTTGAGGTTTTCCCTCGGGCTCTAAAAGTTTTTCCTGACGCGGAGATGGAAACATGGCGCGGTGGGCGTCACGTGACGTAACACCAGCGAAACCAGTGATTCCCACTGGGAGACACAAAACTTTACAAGTAACTTTAACTGTGGAATAAAAACTGGAATGTTTAGTAGGCCAAGGGGCGAGGCTTTCCACAACTATTTAAACAAGCCATTTACCCAATATATTTCTTACATTTATGTGTAATGTGACACAGATTACTTTAACCAAAAGAATGATGACTATAGTGCAGTGGTCGAAAAAAGGTATACAGAAATAAAAATAGCAATTTGACACTGAAAAAACGATGATGAAAATCCTTTTATTCAAAATCCTACTGAAGTAAAAGTGTGTGGTATTGTCAGTGAAATAAAAAAAACTTAAAAATGTATTTTGTCAGTATAATTACATGATATTTGATTAGTAATAATAATAATATCAGAATCAGATTCATATTACTGATATGATAACATATAAGCAGCTTCATTCAAATGCTGTTACATGGCTGAGTTCATTTGAACTACTTTTTACACCATTGGTTAGTTTAATCTATAATTGATAATGTGTTATGTAAATGATTATTCTGAAAAGCAACTAAATGGTATACTCAGATTAATTCTAAAGTACAATGTTTCCTTCCTCAATGTGGTGAACTATAAAATAAGGTGGCAAGAAATTGAAATACTAGAATGATTTCATGCAAAACATTAAACAGTTCACTAAATAATACAAATCTTTATTCAGATAGCATCTTCCACTTGAAGTGCATATTAAAACCAAAAAGAGCAGACCATTTAACACTTAACATGTACAAATAAAAGTATAATAAAAACAATCCAGTAACAATCCCAACCATAAGAACAACAAAAGCCTTTAACATTACCACACATGCTCTCATCATCTCTTATCTATGGTTTCATTTTATTACACTGCATGATGTGTTTCCAGTACCTGAGGGAAATGAATAATAGATTAAGACATTTGGAAAGCGTCCCTGAGGCTTTGTGGATGCAGAGATGTTGATCGTACATCTCAAGCGCTCATCCTTCCTCCTCCCTATTCTCACTTATCAGGGATCTGTTGTTGATGCTTTCTCACATCCCCAAAGAAGAAGCTCAAGTTCATTCATTAGTGCTCACTTAGGGCCTCAAACACCTATCAAGTGACAGCCCTTTTTGTAGGTGGTGAGTATGAGTGAGAAAGGGGACAGGTGGGAAACCTCACTTATGGTTAACTGAAACAATATTTTAACTGATAAGTATAAAAAACATCTATTAGTATCAAAACTCCAGTGTAGGCAAATGCCGTATGCACATGTTATATTGAATGTGTCACAGAACTGCTACATATATATACAGCCTACATATATAACATATATTGTGCTGCTTTACACTGCAGCACAAAATACCTATATTAATGAATTTCAAGGAAGCTTCAAAACGCTAATTTCAGTCCTATCTTCTTGCATCCATGTGACTAGTGTGATAAACTTCTGAATAAGACTTTGAAAGAGTTACAGATGTGTTTTGAGAAGCGTTTCCTGTGGCAGTTGAAGATGACTAGGTATCCATGAGTCCAAGGCATCGCCCTTACTGTGAAATTATAGGGTGAAAATGTGCAGGCCTTCAATGAGCCAGAGTTGGACAAAAGCCGAACGACTAAAATAAAGGATTAGACTGCCCTCTTCTGTCGAAAAGATGAAAATGCTACTTAAAGACAGACATTAATCTGGACGGATAAACGAGAAAATACATACATTTATGCGGACACCACCGCATAAAATGTTGAGAATATTGGCCAATTAGCGTGCGAGCTCGAACATTCGTTGACCAATTATGTTCCTGGCTCTATCATTGGTACAACATTTGACCAATCACGGCGGAGAAATGTTTAAGCATAGAAGACAATGTTGCTGCTAGTTTTGTTTTGCTGACTTTTTTTCCCGGCAAACAACGGACGATATCAAAGTTTACAAGTCGTGGTGAGTCTTGATACAGTGTTTTATGATACAACTGTAAGTGTATAACTCATTTAAACTGTTGTGTAGTGTTGTCATATAGATTAATTCAGCTAATAACGTTACAAACTCTCTGTTAACTTATCTGACACCCGCATCGTTAGCGTGCATCGTGTAAACAACGGAAGCTATCAAAGTTTACGAATGGTTATTAACGTGGTTAGTCTTACTGTTGTATATAACCATTAGTGTATAACTCATTTTAACTGTTGTGTCGTGCTTTTACAGGCTGCACACCCTCAGACAGCTTCAGTGCCTGGCAAGTATTTATATTTCATTTCATACTGTGTAGTAGAGCATCAGCAGTGTATTTACCTGTGTTAAGGTTATTTATGCTCTTTATTAAAACATGTTTACAAAGGCTGCTGACTCCGGGACTGTGTGAGTCTCCAAACGCTGTTTTGAAGGACTGGAGGGAAGTTAAATTGCATTATTTGATCACAGTAGATATTTAATAATTACTTACACAAGTCTTACAGAGGACATTTATTTTCCATTGTTTTCACATTAATCCAGTTACCAATAATATATACACTTTTAAGCCAGTGTATTTACTTTTCTCGAATCTGCTAAAATAGCTCAAGTTTCAGTTAATGACTTCGACATATAAGCTGTTTACTTTGCTGTATTCTATTATGAATGCTCTTTTTCGGAGACACTGTTCTTGTTTTTAGGTAATTGGCAGAAACAACAACAAAACATCTACCAGGAGTGGGGTTCGAACCCACGCGGACATATGTCCATTGGATCTTAAGTCCAACGCCTTAACCACTCGGCCATCCTGGTATCTACACCGCGTTCAGACACTTTTCTACATGAAAAGCACCAGGAAGAAGAGGAACAGACATCCACATTATATGATTTTTGTGTTTCATCCTCAGATGCGACGCGCTAGCAATGAACACCATTATATAACAATACTCACATATGAACAATGCGTCACGAGTAGCTTTATGGGGATAGCCATAGTTGCTAGCCATTATGCTAGCGCAGTGTTAGCAGCTAGCTGTAGCTAACTTTAGGAATGGCATAGGCCTACTGGAGTAAACGTGTTCATGTCATACGTTGAAACACTGATGTATACAAATAATTCGAACGCAGCCTTACAGGCAAAGCATTATTTTGGCGTTTGTGCTCCCAGTAAGAGACTAACTTTAGAAAAGGTTTCAAGTCACCAACTCAAGCTAATACAACGTAAGTCGTAATAATAGTCACTATACTCAGACTCCGCCTCCTCTCCGCTGCAATTTAAGAGACAAATATTGTACTTTTTACTTAACTACACTTATCTGACAACTGTAATAACTATATTCTTTGCATGTTACGACTGAATCCAATAAGTTAAATTATATCGAAGTGAAATAAACAACCAAACAGTGATATACGTAGTCAATTACTCCTTATCCACTTCTTTCCTACTGTTGTGTTTCACTTTCAATCCAGAAACGTCTTCCTCCTATTAACCCGGGTTTCACTTAGGGAACCAATGTTATTTTCAATACCTCCATGCTCATTAGTGGAAATTATGCAAACATATTTTAACAGAAGATCTTTTTTTCAGTAGTTTCCATGTCATTTGACCAATACCAGATATTATGACTTCACAGGACAAATAAGACACAACTCTTTAACTGAGTTCTACTAAAACCGTTTCAGTGAGTCAAAATGATAAAAAAAATGAAGCATGCTTTTACAACATCCAACTTTAGAACCTTTATTATCTCAGCTGATAGCCATAACTATTATTATGTTGCATATTTGTTGTAATCAAATTAATCTGGGCCTATTATTGAACATAGTACAGATCACCAAGAAGAAATGCAAACAAGAGCCCAGTAGCGTTTTGCCCCAAGCAAATTAAACAATGTAAGATTTGCAGGTTATTCCACTAAGAAAAAGGCCAAGTACATGAGTGGACTTATTCACCCCTAAACACACAAATGTGTCTGCATAATTTGCCTTCTTTTATGAGCTTACAGTTTGACATATAATGTAATTAAAAACTATCACTACAATTTTAAAATCAGAAAATAGATTCAGTTATGTCATGGGCTCAAATAAAAGTCACATATTTTCTCCAATCAAAAATGTCAACAGCTAGACTGATGGATAATTTGGGAGAGCCACATGGTTTTATTTTCTCTTTGCTTTACTATATAGTGCCATTTCTGGTGTTTACAATCTGCATGTGAACTCACTGTTAATATTATTTAAGGTATTTGTGCATACCTGGTTTTTCCCATGCTGTCTCTCATGACCAACCACGTCAAATTATCATTCGTGCCAAACTTGCGTTTTTGTCAGCAATATGAAACATCTCTCATCCTTTTTAGTATTTCAACTTTTCTCATACATCTTTATTTAATGTCTGTTTCTGACACATTTTATCGCTCTCCATCCTTAATACTACGAGCTCTCATGAACCCAATTCTTCAACATCAAAACAATTGTACTTTTTACCCCCGTAACCAACTTACTGTTGATCTTCTTCCAAGGACAACAAACTTTTGATTTACTATAACATTATTTATTTTGCGTCCGTAAGCTTAAACATTTCAATTCAAATAACATCCTTTTAAAATGTACAAACATTATTTTTCAACTGTCCATAACCTTTTACACAGGTAAATGTTTATTCAACTTTTAAATAATTAATATAATGACATAATGTAAAAATAAGCCCTAAAGAGTTTGGTTGTGTCCCCAACAAGGTAGACAGGGACAACATTGCTGAAAAGGATTCTTCCTCTTGTACTTTAGGGCCGTCTTCATGTTAACGTTGATTTTGTCAACGTATTCCTTAGTGCAACACACATTTGCCTCAATGTTATTAACCATGGATCCCTGCTCCTCCACCAGCATGGCCATTTGCAGGAACAGTGAATGGACCTCCTTCAGCCGGACCTCCAGCTCCACCAGCTCCTTGTGTCGGCCTTTGATGTCAGACATCGCCGAGCGGGACGAGCGTGCACTTTGGATCTCCAGGCTCTGGGACAGCTCAGCCCATCCCTCACCACCTTTGTCCACCATCACATCCAGCTGGTCATCAGTGATTTCAGTCCCCATTATAGAGACCTGCCTCTGAATCCTCCCCCGACATGTGTACCTCTGCATCTCTTCCGCCGTATTGTAATCACTCATGGCATCATGGAAGGCACGGGTCAGTGTGTCATACTGAGCTCTGGAAATGCGGCTCACAGCAACATTTGGACCCTTTTTCTCCTCCAGCTGTCTGCTCTTCTTATCTAGAGCCTGAAGGCAGACATACAGGCCCTCCCCACGTTGCTGGATCCCCCTAGCGATGGAGTCAGAGTCCTTTTTGAGCAAGGTGAGACGCCGCACAGTGGTCCCAAAGCGTTCATTGTGGGTGCTCAGACGCTGTATCTCCAATTGGAGCAGGGAAATATCCTTTCTTATTGAGTGGGCCTCCCCCAGGATGTTGTCAATGTCAGAGGAGTTCTCAAACACCACTGCCTCTTGAGACAGGGTCACCTTGTCTACATCGTACTCAGGTTCGTAGCAGTCTGACTCGTCGTCCTCCTGCCCCTCACTGATGTTCTGCAGCCTCTCCAGCATGTCCAGCATCCTGCCTGAGAGACCCATGCAAAAAAAGATGTTGATAATTTAAAGTCTACATTACATTAAGGAAAGGCTTTTATCTGAAGTGTCTATCAAGAGTCTAGCTTTGGTTCTGGTGTACTTTTGTGTTGAAAATATAATTCCATAGATAAGATTTCTAATCATAGGCCTAATTATCGATCACATGGTTAAACATTTATAAATGCCTGTATTTCCTGTCAACTCAGTTCAAAATATGGCTTTGACTGCATTTTTTGGTATTGTCCATCTTATTTCTTGGCTTTTGTAATTTGAGTTTTTCTTTATTTTGAATTTTATTGTATTTATTTAGGGAATATGTGGATAGTACCAATACTGTGTACTGAAAAAAAGTTTCAGGTTCGACATACTTAAGCATACTCGTATTGGTATAACCTTCGATTCATACAATGTGAAAATTAAAGAATTGATATTTAACATTTAACCCTGATGACAACATGAATAGGTTCATATTTCATTTACCCAGGGAAACTAAACCACATACAGAGCTAACCTGTTAGGGTTATATATAACTACTCCAACAATAATGGGTCAGTTTCTCTGCAGTATTTTCTACTTTAACAACTTACAACAATGACAGCAGTGACAGCTCAAAGCACTTTTTAAAACCAGGAACAAGGAAGGCACTGTCTTGTTGAAAAGCAGATATTTCCATTGAAAGTGGGCTTAGACACAGAAAATATTGTTAGACGATATATGTTTTAGAAGTACCTCAGGAAAAACTGTTTGTAAACTGCATGTTGCAAAACCTTTCAAAATGGTGGGTCTTGCTTTAATATCTGTCTTGTATTCTCTCGTAGTCTCATTCTGTCAATAGACTGAATAAAATCAATTTCCCCATGTCACAATAGTAAAACAATTGAAGAAAATCACATTTGTCACAATGTGTGAAAATGTTTATTATATATTGTCTTCTTTATGTCCATTAAATTAGTCCCATCTTTCTGCACTATGTATGTCCAGTTAATCTACTAGTCTCCAGATGCTTTGCTCCACATAAAAAACCCCAAAATGCTGTAAATTCAAACTTTCTTACCTCTTGTGAGTAGCTCCCACAAAAACAGGAAGCAAGTAATTTCCTTCAAAGTGTATTTTGCTGATTAATTTGTTCCAAGGTGCCTGGGCAATGCATCTTTTATTCTGAGAAAGGAAGTTGTCTGGTCGCTTTGTGTTCAGCATGTCTGTGACTGACGCCCCTCCTCAGGTGACCAACATGGGCACTCCTACTGCAACACTCAATACTTCCTTGAAGGAAGACGCATTTTTCTATTTGGTTAATTGACTGTTCACTTCAGGAAGCGAAGTGATTCACTAACATTCAGTGTGTTCATGAAAAAGTTATTCTGGATATCTGAAGATATACTTAAATATTTGATAGTGCACCACTGGGCTAATGCAATGCTAGCTGCCATCAGTTTGTAAAGTGATGACACCTGTGTGAGTAGGTGCGTGTGTGTGAGTGAGTAAGTAAGTGAGTGTGTGTGTGTGTGTGTGTGTGTGTGGGGCCCTGGATGATTCAAAAGGCTCAGGCCTATTTCCTGAACCTTGTACATGCTAGGGTTTATAATTGCATCTGTGGAAACTAACTACATTTACTCAAGTACTGAACTTAGGTGCAATTTTCGAGTACTTACATACAGTATTGAAATGTTATGCTAGTTTATACTTCTACTCCTACTAAAACTCAGGGAAATCTATTACTATTTACAGTACTTTACAGGTTAAGATTATACAAACAAAACATTTGATGAATTATTATAATACTATACTTTAATATGAAATTAAACTGTCCAAGAGTATATAAGATAGTTAAAATGTGCTTCAACGTAACATTAAATGCTGCTTGAGTGTTAAAGGATTAGTGATCATATTTGAATAACATAATACATATAACATCATTATATAAGTACTTTTACTCAAATTTTTTGAGAACATTCAGATGTTAATACTTAAGCACACAGGTCATTATGTTATGTTGATGTTCATTTCATGTTTAAACAAGAATAAAGCCAAACTCACACCAACTTTTAATATAACTATTTATGTAATATATGACACCACAGAAGAATTTTTACCAGTGAATTGAGATGAAGTGACACATTTAAGGACCTAAAAGGCTTCATAAGACAGTATACAATATAATCTCAGAAACAATTGCATAAATGAACTTACGTGTTGCAGTCATTGCATTATGATAAATCCCTCACATGTGGAAACTCAGCAGACATTCAAAACATAAACAACATTTTCAAATACCATTTGCTCGAGGTCTGCATGACACCTGCATCATAGGGGAATGAATTTGGATTTGAGATACCTGTCTCAAACATTTCATACAAACATTAGAGGTCAAGGGATCACTTAAATACAATATTACAAATATTTTACCCTTGTCTTTAAATCTAGACACAAGAGTTTTAACCTTTATCAATATTGAAGTTTGTACAATTGAAACATACAGAAAATGTTCTTAAAATTCCCCACTTTTCCTTGTCTAGACAGCATTGTAATTTCGAAATCACTCTACCCATGTTTGTACTGTACTGTAGTCATTAGTCGACGCAGGGGAAACAGCTGCAAAACATCTTTCTAAAGGGGTTGTTTTTGTCGTGACGTTGGGCCCTGCCGAGTTTAACGAGTGCCTCCTGTATGCTTTCATCGGTCTTCTGCACGTTGGTTTGGATGGCATTCAGCATGGGGCCCTGCTCCTCAACCAGCATGGCAATGTCCAGGAAAATCTCATGGATGCCTTGGATACGTGACTCCAGGTCAATCAACTCTTGGTGGCGTTTCTCAATCTGGGACAGAGCTGATCGAGCCGTTTTACCTTCAGCCATAATGTTGTCATTAAAGATGTGTAACTGACCTTTCTCGATCATCTCCTCCACTTCCTCTCCTGTCACCTCGCGTCCCACTATCTCCATTTGCCTCTGGATCTGGGCTTTACAGTTTTCTCTATGGCTCATCTCAGCCTCATTATAGTCAAACATGGTGTCGCGGAAACCATTGCTGAGGCTAGCATACTGGGTTCTTGCAATTCGCGTTACGGCGGAATTTGAGCCATATTCTTCTTCAAGCTTTTTTGCCTTGCCGTCCATGACCTGCAGGCGTGCCAGCACCTCCTCAGCTCGAGACTTTATGTCAGCACCAATAACGTTGGAGTCCCTTTTGATAGTGCTCATGGTGGTGACACCACCGACCATGCGGGAGTTATGCTCGCGAAGCCTTTTGATATCCAGTCGGATGAGCTGGACCTCTCTGTGGATTTCCTGCGAATGGGAAAACACCTCATCCAGAGCCGGGCTGTTGTCAAACACCACGGCCTCATGTGTCAACTCCTCCTCCAGGTCCACGGTACTGAAGGCCTCGGAGACAGTGGACTCGGCATACTCCATCTGCTCCACAGGTCCGCTGGACATTTCCTGCAGGTTGCTCAGTCTGTCCCTCATGGTTGGGCTGGACAACAAGTAAATAAACATGTCAAAATGTGGCTGGTTATCTTTCCTCTTCTAAAACACATTGATGAAGAGGAAACAACAAAACATATCTAATTCACAGCCATTGGAATGTGTTTACCATAGATGGCTTGATAAAACAAAATGCAAAAAAGCGACACAGATAACATTTAAGATCCAAACTAAAAACATTTGCAAGTTCTAACACACCCATAAACTGGCGTGCCTGTTAAGAAGCCATTCCTTCTTCCATCAGCCATCACGCACCGGCCTAACAGGTTCTCCTAAGAATAGTCAAAGGTGTTGCTCCTCACCAAACTAGTTATTTTAACTTGTGATGTGTCTGACTCTTTATCCAGACAGTCATTTTGACTTATAATCTTACTGAGCAATCAGATGTAGCAGATATAGGCCTACCCTGGCTCTCATGTTTGAGCAATACTCTAAAATAAAATATTTCCCATTTGAAAAAAGACAACAGGTAGGACATCATTACAAGGAAGTCTAAAAGGCTTCTCGACCAAAACTTTCTCAAACATCAGGAACTCTTTACTTATCTTATGGTTGTCTTTAACCAATTTCAGCTAAGTCCTTAAAAATGTTAAAATATAGTGGATAAAGTATTAAAATGTATGAACACATAATCTTGACAAGAGTGTGACTGGTCATTATTTTAGAACCCATTACTGTAGCTCAATAATCCTGAAAAATTGGCTATATATACACATACTGTTGCTGTTGGTATCTACATTTAACACTGTATAATACATTAATGGTACCAGTTGCTAAGCAAAGTCATTTTAACAACATTATGTTAATATTACGCCACGACTGTATTTTGTCAAGTATCTATCAACCCATGTATCTCAGGCACATTTCAAGATAGACTACAACACAAACCAGGTATAAAAGGTGACACATTTCCTACAATTTCGCCCTGTTGCTTGTCAAAGGTGTTCTCAATGTAATGCAGGAGTGAAGGTTTAAAATAAAAGCTCCTTACCTGATGTGCTCCGCTGTTCACACAGATATCAAAGTTTGTCTATTAATGTAAGGTGGCCGTGGTGCCACAACACCATCCTACAGTCGACTGCTCAGGGCTGTGAGCAGGAACAATGGGCCCTACAGCTGCAGTCTTTGGAGCCAGAACTGGTATTCAACTGTGATTTTGTTGAGGGATGGATTGCCACGCCATGCGCCTGTAATGACGTGATTTAAGGAATGAAGCCCGGTTGGTTTAGATCGGTTTGGCCTTTGCAGTGAAACTGCATGTCAGAAGCGTCAATCGGGTGGGAAGAGGCGTGAGCAGCTGGTGTGTATGAACCAGGGAAGTGCCAATTTCAATTTGTATCTTTATTCTAATAAATCGGAATTGTTAGATAATCTTGAGTGTAGCCCAAGACAGGTGTCGATCACCAACTTTGTTTCTCGAACTGCCCCGTCACGGTGCAAGGCTAATAGCGTACCGTTTTGAGGTTCACTAATCTCAAGATGATCTCAGCCAAGCCCATATTACTTCCACAGTTAGGCACGTGATGTGTGAGGGTTTGTGTGTGTTGATTGGCCTGTCAAGTTATATGTCAAGACATGCAAGGACATTTTAAGAGCAAATGTTGATTAAGGTTGAGGCTGTAAAGTCATCCACCACTGTGCAGTAGACACATGAGATCACTTTAGCATTAATTCTATTTGGAATAACTTTATTTTCTTTTTACATACAAATATATCTAATTCATTTTTATTGAAATATTTGTTAAACTTTAATAACATGTACTCCAAGCCTATTGCTCATCCTATTGTTTACTGAGTATAGTCTTAAATAAATGTATACATCATAGTCTATAAACCATGGATGTATAATGGACCTGACTTCGCCTCTCTCTCGTAAATATCATATAGCACCGCCACGTGAACGCACACGCTCGTAACCGAGACCACATCCCTTCTTCTGAGGATGCTGCTTTCAAGTGTTCCTCGGAAATGTGATAGCTCTATTAATGGCAAAATACAGACCTTACGCCAAAACATTCTGATCGATAACTTTAATAATAACGTTTCGACGGGGAACTGGAAGACAGATACTTTTTAAGTTATGAGGTTTACTTTTAAATGATTACATTGTAGAAGTTTTGAGAAAATAGAGACGAACACCTCCTATATTTTACTAAACAACGTGCGTGTTGTTTATTAAAACAGCAAACAAATCAACAAGAGAAGGGTGGGCTAACTCAACCATAGCTCACAACATTCTGTTTACGTCGTTTCACACTGACACTGTCCAACTGTTGCTGTGTTAGTGTTAAGTCAATACCATGGAAAAACACAGAAAATGCACATACGTTGAACGCTAGTATTAAACCACACACAGTGGTGAATAATGTCCTAACGAAATCCTTAAAATGGTGCTGAATATTCAGTCATAATGAGTGTGTCACGTTTTTGTGCTGTTTTCAAAAAGTGTGTGTTGTTGAGTTTCAAAACTCCCACTCTCCCTGGAGACAACGTGCCTCCATCAGGACCCCGTTGCATACTTTTGTTGTTCCTCACTTCCTCCCATAGGTTGAATCCCTTGCTGACCACCGCAAGACACACACAGAGCCAACTATAAACGCCACGGCAAAAAAATACTTGAAGAAATAGCCATGAAGTTGTCTATGATTCGTAGTGCGTGTGGCAGCCTTCGGATACACCCAGCCCGTTCAGGAAGCAGGGTGAGCGGCTTTACGCGGAGATGCCCCCCGGTTGGTCCTGCCAACAGCCGGATGATCCTCCGGACCGCAAGCACTACCAGCAGCGGGGGAACCAACCCGAAACTATCCGTCAACTTCGGGAAACTGTCCCAAAATGATGATGGGTTTGAATGCGACAGTTCCTTGAGGTGAGGAAGTAGTGTTTACATTGGAATAAGGGACCACAAATAACTGTATTAATGTTATATTTGTTAACCTAAAATAAGTAATGTAGGTGTTTTTCCTAAGTGATGTACTTCCGGTCCGCCGGCGTGTGATGCTCATGGTTAGCAGTCAGTTCATCACGTGCGATGTTAATATCAGAGAGACTCCAGAAAGCTGATGTAACTTTTCTTTGTTGTTGCCAAAAACACACGAGGCCAAAATGTGACTGTATTTATAAGCAGTAAACCTCACTACCTTCCCATGGGTTAAAAAATAGGTCGAGCTGAATACTTTTACTGTTACATTTGATTTACAACATCACCACTGCTTGCTTGCATAGTTTTTCATGCAAGTTGTATCGTACTTGATGGTGACAAAATATGTATTTTACTACTACATGATATCGTATTTAACAGTACATTCATTGATACGACTAGGGTGATGTTGACGTTTTGACAACATGTAGGTCAGTGGGTTAACTGTTCACCATAACACACACCGTATCACGTGTAGTAAGGCGGCCAATGGATGCAACTTCCACCTAATGGTTTTTTGATTCTATTATTTTATTATTTGACATATATTTCAATGTTTCCTTTGTTTTGTTCTTAGTAGATGTTGTATTCCTTCGACAGTAGCTAATATAGCCAAGCCACACTCTTTCCAATGTTTTTTACTTGAGTTACTGTTTATATTTGTATCTTATATCAAACTCTTTTTGTCCACTTGAACTCAGTGTTGTTGGTAAATTCAAAACTTTGGATCCAGGCAAGTTTAAAGGAGTTTCACTAGGAGGATAATTGTTTCATTTGAATAGGGTAAGTGAGAGCATATGAGGAATAATTTAGTGTTTCATCATTCCTACCAGTTAGCCAACAAGCAGAGAAGTTAGAAACAGTATACACTTTTTTGTTTAGGATACCTTTCCCCAAATGTTAAACAGAGAGTATCTTTGACCTAATGTTTGTGATCTAATTCATCTTACAATCCTGTGTGTAGCCTTAATGGATTAATGCAGATTGCTAACAAGTTAATTTTCTTTCACAGGGAAGTGGTTCAGAGCACCAAGGAGGCAATGTTGGCCCTGCAGAGAAGAAACCCAGCAATTCAACCCCTATTAGCCATTATACAGGTATGTAACAACAAAAAAGTAATATATATAATTTGTATTTGCCAATGTAGAACGAAAGACTGCGTAAGGACATATACAAGTTATAATTTTGTGGAAGGTTGCCTTGAAATATGATCTAGTCTAAAGCCGATTGGCTTTGGAGTTTTGTTGTGTGAGTGTTAGCGCTGTCTTAATTGACCTTTGACCTAAAGTTGGCCTCTTTTTACTGAAGCCATTGAAAATGTCTGTGTGAGTTTTTCTCAGTGTGCGCTTTTCATTTCAAAGGCAGGTGAAGTTGACGGCTTGTTGGAGATCAATACGAAAATGGCAGTAAGGGTAAAGTCCTCTCTTGCTGTTACTTTTAAGGAATTTTAAGAACTTTGTCTTTTAAACAAATCAACATTATAATAATAATTCAAGTGTTCACCCTTTCCTTGTCTGTTTGCCCGCAGATTGGACTAAACATCACCCAGATTTGTCTGGCAAAGGAGTGCAGTGAAGATGATGTAAGTGAAGCTGACTCAGGCATTTGGTTAACTTCCCTACATGCCTAAAACTAGAAAAACTCTTCCTAACCCCTTATTATCAGCAAGTCAGTGCTTGATTTAGCATCTCCTGGATGTTTGTCTGTGTAGCATGTGATCATGGTGGTTGTGTGAAGCGCATCAAGGTAATCGGTGCCTAACATAAGCTTTGATGCAACTCTGTTGCAAGACTAATCCCTGATTTCCTAATATACTTTGTCACTCTTTGGGGTTCTGTTTTCACTTCTTTTTTCACTTCATAGTATTTTCAGCATCTAAGTTTTACTCTCTTTAACCAGGTTTTAGTCAATGCATGAGGCATAGAGAAAGGATAAACCTCTGAATAGTTTGGAGGTTTCAGCTGAGAGAGAATGGATTTACATTACAATTCCCGGCCCAAAGGGCTCTACTGATTCACTAATCCTCTGCTCCACTTTCACATATCTTTCCTCTGTTTAAAAAATCTTCCCCTCTGTCACACTATTACTCCCTCGGAAATCACTGTGTATGCTCAGTCAAAAGCACTGGCCTTAAATTTGATGTTGAGTTTAATGATTCACCTCGTCGCATGTTTTGAATCACTTCTTTATTCAAATAAAATGTTAGATTAAGATCATTAGGTTTCAAAAACTTTACCTTGAGGTGTGAAGGCCTTTTTTAAACCCTAGAGACAGTAGTCATGCCGTTACTATTGCAAATGTGACTTGTTTCACATCTTCTGTTATGTGTATTTTGTCTTTGTGTGAATGCGTGTAGATTGTTGAGGAGGTGTTGAAGCTGAATGAAGACCCCAGGGTGCACGGAGTCTACCTCCACCTCCCCCCTGCTTCCCTCACCACTCGAGTGTTGAACACACTCAAACCTGAGAAGGACGTAGACGGGTAAAAACGGCACTAACCAAATTGGATCATTGAATTTAAAACTGCAGATTTTTTTTATGTCCCAAAGAGAGACATAACAGTGAAGAGCATATATTTTATAAATGGCACATGCTGTTGAACGGTACTTAACTTAGATGATTTATGATTGTTTGTATTCCCTTTGAAAATGGCCTGACATGTTATTTCATGTCTGCATTGGACATTTCATGTCGTAGTCAGCCAGGTATCAGCTTTGCGTGTTTCTATGTCCCATCAGAGACAAATGCATTTACTCACATGGTACACTAAATCAGAAAGGGCTGCACAGAATTAAGACTCGCTAAATCTAAATGCAAAATGTGTGACTTCAGCAGCCATGCGGTTAAGAAAATGCGCAACGCACCCTTTTTAATTATCACAAATGAAAGAGAACTGGTTCAACCAAGGTCTAATTATGAAAAGCACGTCCGTAAAGTAAGTGAGGTTGTCCTATGAGAAGCTCATGTGATATTTTACTTTACTCAGGAAGCTACTTTGTTTAATATTTTACTCTCCAGTGTTTTATAGATTTATAATTAACTGACATGTGCATCAGCTGTATCACATTTTTCTGAATGTAGGTGAAAATATCATCCATATCACTTGACAAAAAAAGTGACTAGCCTCCAGAGAAAAGAGTGATGTATTTATTTAGATATTATATTTATATCCATTTTCTTTCTTATAGGATATCCGATTTGAACATTGGCCGTCTGGTGCGAGGAGACCTGAGCAAAGGCTTTGTGCCGCCCATAGCCAGCGCTGTGCTGGATCTGCTGGAGAAACATGGTAAATACATTTCCTTCTACAGGGACTCTATTCGGAGTCGTCAATGCATGCACAATGCAGGTGTAGTTAATAAAAGTA